TAATTGAATTTATTTCCGGCACCTTTGGCTAGCCGGCATTTATCCAACTACATGTCCAGTCATACCGATGCTTTTCGTCCACATTTTATACTTTGACTTCTACTAGCGTTCAAAATAATTGGAAAAATTACTTATTATATCGATAGCTGTTGAATTTCATGGATCGTGATTAATTGCACTTACAATCTGGGCTTGTGCTTCCGCGTCAATCCATCCTTCCTCCATCTTTAGTACTCGCCAAAAATCTTCCCAAAAATTTTTTTTAATAGATTATTATTTGCACAATGTTTATTACAAAGTTTTCTACTCCAAAACCGCAAAACATGAAAATGGAAAAAACACAAAGCTATCTGGAAAGTTATCTTAAGACATTTTTATTTCTTCACCTGCAGACGTACTATACATTTTTATTTCTTCACCTGCAGACGTACTATACATTTTTATTTCTTCACCTGCAGACGTACTATACATTGTCATTCCTTCACCTGCAGACGTACTATACATTGTCATTCCTTCAATAAGAGCATTTAGCTCTCGTTTCGACCTCATACTAAGAATTATAGTAGTGTTTTAATCGTAAAAATTGTCCTAATATATTGTAATAATTTTCTTATAAATATCTGATCCTTGTAGGCTCAGGAGCGTCGTCGACCATAAAAATATTCAGTTTTCTTTATGCTTCATAAAATCAAACCATGCATTTGATGTTTGTTTAAGTTCATTTCGTAAAATCCAATGAAGTTGAAGGCATAATCTTGAAGAAATTTAGAGTGAAGATTAATATTAGGTTCATTTACAATTTCATACAATCCAATAAAGTTAAATGCATAAATCTCAAAGAAATTGAGTGAAAATCAATTTTAAATATAATTTTTTCATAATTTTTTTAATAATTACGGATGAGGGCCCAAAATAAAAATTCTTACATATATAGCAGCCCAAAATCAAAAATTATTACAAATAAGGGCCTGTCCGATCTCTGAGCTATACTAGGTGGCTAAGC